TCACTCAGGGCAGGTCTAAGGTAAGACACCAGTCCAGTCTGTGCTGAAACGCTACTGTCAATCAAACTATCGTGGGAGGGGCCTGTCTGTGTGACGTCACACACACAGGCATCTGAGATCGGCTCGATTTGAGAAAGGGGAAAACATTTAACCAGATTTAAAAAAAAAAAACACTGGGTGGATTTTTATCATTATAGGGTGGTTGTGTACACACACTGCCAACACACATTTCAGTTCAAAAGAACTTGTAAAAGTGCATGTAGCATCCTATGACCCCTTTAACTGTAGGGGGCTCTAAAGTCACAAAAATACACAAAACTACATCCACCTGCTTTCATTACCGCGGGAAGTAGGGGTGCTGAGGGTGCTGCAGCACCCCCTGAAAATAAATAATATTCATTTTATTAATTAGTATATTCATTAAAATTCATTGAAAAAAGTAGCCTAAGCCTACAATGACAAGAAGCAATGGTTAAATATGAGTTAAGTTGAATCAAATTGACTGTGAAAGTCATTTCAACTAATTAAACTGACTTAAAAAAATAATTTGTTGCCATGATTTTTGTATTATATTATAACCTGTAACATGTCTCTGCCGTACCCAAATTAAGAATTAACGATCATTTCTACAGACAGCAGAGAAAGAGCGAGAGCGTCTACCTCAGCAGCAACAAATCTCGCATTCTCACATCTGTAGCGCTTAGTTTGATCTTTAACGTTAGGCCTTTCCTATTCTTGAAACAAAATTAATTCTTAAGGTTGATTCAATATTACTCTTAATGAAAAACACACACACACAACATCAACAATGCTACAATGACAAAGTCGCTTATATTAAACAAAATTTTTATGAACAGATAAGAACAAATAAGATCAGTGGCGTAGCATCTATGCAGGGTATGCAGGTGCATATAGTCCCGGGCAGTTCGGGGGCAACGAGGGAACGAATGGGCCCTGCATGGGCCCGGCCCTTGTCCAACAGCTTTATGAGAATTCTCGGCCCGAGTCCGACTGGATCCTGTGTCTCTTTTCTCGCTCTCTCTTCCCCATTACACAGCTATTAAAATAGTTCAGTTTTGGTTTTTAATGGCAAAGTGGTCATATTTCTTTTTGTTTCTTTATTAAGTTAATTTAGAAATATGTTTGGAACATTTTATTTTTGTTAAATTCAAGTTTTTGTTTTTTAAAGGAACGACCAAGCGGCAGCG